TCGATGGTTGCGCCCACTTGGCATGTAGATCGCAGCAGCTGTATCAATTGACAAGCGTCTGTCTGTCATGTCTGTCCCAGCGGGCATAAACAACATGTTGCTGCGCCTTATTTGATGCCAAAAGTGAAGAAGAAGCAGACGAAGATGTTGGCGATTTCGTAGAAACTGAAAGGCTCAGCAAAGAGATCCTGTTTAAGGGTTTCTCGATTTCACTCATTTTAGTGCTAATTAATGAGAACTGCGACAAGTTCTAGAGACGCATCAAGGCAGTAGTTGATGTTGTTGTTGTTGTTGCAGTTGTACTTGCATTTTTCCAGCTTAATTTGTCGCAGCAACATCTCGAATTGGAAAATCCTGTTTCAATGTTGCATGCCACATGTGGGCAGCGGCTAGATTGACGTGTCGTTTGTGTCATCCACGTTGTCGTGTAGTTGTTGTTGTTGTTGTTATTGGTTGTTGGCTGTTTGCGCTTGTCAGCATCCACTCTAGCTCTGGTCAAGTGGCTGAGTGTTTGTCTCGGTTTTCGTGTTTCTCGCCCAGCCATGAAGCGTGGCCAGTTTTTGTTTTTTTAGCTTTGCATAAACTACATTTACTGCAGTCTGTTGCTGTTGTTGTTGTTGTTGTAGCTGCTGTCAATATTGCTGTTGAAACTGAATGAAAGTTTGGCTCGTTTTCACTGCCCAACTGCCTGGCCAAACTGTCGATTAGATTGCCGCACATCCATTGGCAATTGGCTAATTATTGAGTGCTTGTATAACAAGCTCTAAGAAAGTTGTCTTTAAATGAATTGCAGCAATATGCATATAAATATAAATTTCTTAGCTATAGCCAAGTCTCTAATTGGCATAATAGTATGATAAGGCCAGCTAAGCCAATTATCGGCAATCAGTAAGACTTGTGGAACAGTTTGTGTAATAAAATACAATCATTACTATATATATATAATTTTGATTTTGAGCGTGTGTGTGTGTGTGTGGAGTGCAGTGTAAATTGTAATTAGCGAAAGCATAAAATGTAGCTCAAATAAGATTTTCGCTCACAAATTTAGCCCCACCCTGAGAGATAAAAGAGACGACGGATGAAATGTTCCAATTTTCATGTTCATTTAAAAAATTACTTCAAATATTATTTTACATTATAATTAGTTGCGGCTATGGTATATTAATTGAATGATAAAATATAATAAAAAAAAAAAAAAACACGAATTTTTATTAATACAAAATATCTACTAGAATAATATTTTCAGTTACCCAACGATATATTCTGTTGAAGCTCTGCAACTTAGTAGATCATTTCTTTTTCTCCTGAGCCAACTATCTATTATAATTGCTCGTCAACTCTTTGTAATCAAGTTCATTTTGGCGTCATGCCAATTTTCTCAGTTGACATTCACAAAAATAATGTGGGTCTTCTTCATACTTTCTCAAGGCTATCTCTGTGAGATCTGCAATAGTTTGTACTCTGGAAAGCTGACCCGCTGTTTAAGTAGGACAATTCACCTTTCTAAGTACCCCGCTGAAAGCAGTTCCCATTGAGTGCGCACGCAATAGATGATCTTCAAGAGATGATCATGGTACCACTTTGCTGCTCTCTGTTTGTACTTGTTGCTATGCAAATTGCAATTATTTTGTACAAAGTTATGTGAACATTTTTATTGTTTATGCTTAGAACAAAAAAGGGTTTTCTTCTTCTTGTCATTGTTTTTTTTTTTCTTTTACTGTCTCCAACTCTTTCACTTTGGCTGCTCTTGGCTTATTCTTTCTCTTTCTGGCTGGTTGCCTTCTTAGTTTTTTGCTCTATCATCAACTGGTTTTGGGTTACGTGCACGCAGAGCTGGAGATACGAAACCCACACAGCGAGAGAGATGCTGCACCGATCACATAATTCGTGTTGCTCTTCAGCTGCGGCTGTTTCTTCTTCTACTTAATGTTGCTGTTGTTGTTGTTGTTATTGCTGGCTCATCATTCTTGTGCTTTTCCGCCCGGCTCAAAAGAGCGTTGTTTCTGCTGCTGCTTCTTCTCCATTTTTGTTTTTTGTTTGTGGCAAGTTATTTTTATCAGCAGCATTTTGCTGCCGTTGCATGCACCGCCCCCTTGTTCGTTGCCTGACGCCTGTCGCCTGTCGACCTGCCGCGCATCAGACTTTGCTGTCCAAGCCCCAAGACGCTTTTTTATCGGCATTCCTTTTTTTTTTGCTCTGGCTTGGCTGCCGTGCTGTGTATCTATAAAGACAACAACAGACTCCTTAGCTGGACCAACAGCAACAACAACAACAACAACATCACGATCTTTAACATGGTTTGTCTCGATCAGTGAAATCATTCAATCAGAACGGTCAGCAGCTTTGGCAGCTTCGGTCGTTGCCAGGACACACACACACACACACACGCACACTCATCTGCCAATATATAAGCCTAAGTCAAAAGCTGCTTGAACAACTCTTTAGCTGAAAGTGTTTTATCTCGTTTTTTCAACTCTCAGCCAGAATCAATAAACTATCGCAAACAGTAGTCGAAAAGAAATCAAATTTTACGATACTTAATCATAAATACAAAGCTGAACAGCCGTTTGCTTAAATTTGTGTTCAACTCTCATAAATTGTTCGCCTTTTTGGCTTCATATGTGTATTTATGCACCTCCTTCAGTCCGGCCATAAAGCATGTTTTTAAAATTCCATTAAAATTTATTAGCATTTCACACAAACTGTGCATAAATAACAAATTTCGGTACTTTGATACCTGCCTCAAAAATGAAAAAAAAAAAAGAGAAAAACGGATTGCAAGAACAACAGCAGCAGTGGCTCCCCTTTTAATGATAAAAAATTGGATAAGGCCAGGCCAAGAGCGCCGAGTCAGTCGCCTTCTCCACTTGCACGCATAAATTTTATGTGTGCGTGTTGCGTTTAATTGGAACGCTGTTAAGCATGCCTTCACATGTGCACGTGTGTGTGTGTGTGTGAGTGTGTGTGTTGGTACATTAGTCGATAAACAATTTACGCAATGCACTGTTTGGTTTAGCTGCGTTTTGTTTATGTTCGCATTATCTAAACAAATACGAAAATAAACAATTTGAATGCAACGCATAAAACATGCATTTTCAAGTTAATGCACCTTTAGAAGGCACTGTGAACGCGCGCGCTTTAATTTGACAGCCGAGCTGAAGCGGTAAGCGCGTTTATCCGCTCGCAAAAAAACATAAAATAGCCCAAAGCAAACAAAAGAAAAGGGCAACAAGTGTAAAGTGGGCGCGCACTCTCAACTAGACAGAGAGAGAGAGAAAGAGAGTGCGAGCCCTCTGTGCTAGAGTGTGTGTGAGAGCACGCGATCTGTTCCCAGTATTTCTGAGCGTCCAGAAGCCACCAGAAGAAGCTGTCATTCCTGCGCCACCTACCTTTCTTTTTGTTCTTGTTGTCTCATGCTTTATCTTTTATTTGCTTTGGCTGCTTGGCATGCGCAGCACATACGTCGCTGTCGCAGCCAGCAGCGCTGCTAACGTCGCTGCTTTGCTTTATTCTGGGTGATTCTGATTCCTGGCGCAGGTATAAATGACAGCTTCTATGGCCATTTCACTTTTAGTCTTGAGTTGTCCACGCAAGCGCAATGAACCACTGTAAGTTGTTGTTGTCCCAGCATTCGGCCAGGCATTGATTGAATCGATTCGAATTGTTGTTGTTTGTTGTTGTCTTGCAGTAGTGCTGCTGCTGCTGCCGCTGCTGGCCGCAGCGAATACCATCAAAGAACGCAACTTGTTTGCCACCGAACTTTTCCAAACCTTGGCCACCGATCGCCAGGACGAGAATGTCGTAATCTCGCCCGTGTCCGTCCAGCTGGCTTTGGGCCTGGCCTACTACGGCGCCGAGGGCCGCACTGCAACGGAACTGCAGCGCACGCTGCATGTGTCCGCTAAGGAGAGCAAAGACGGCCTCGCCGAAAGCTACCATCGTCTGCTGCACTCGTACATCAAGTCCAAGACGGTGCTGGAGATCGCCAACAAAGTCTACACGCGCGAGAAGCTAAAGGTGACTCCACATTTCCGTGAGGTAGCCGAGAAGTATTTCGACTCTGGTGTTGAGGGTCTGAATTTCGACAATGAAGACGAGGCACTGAAGCGCATCAACGATTGGGTCAAGGAAAAGACTCAAGGCAAGATTGAGCATGTGGTGGAGGCACTGGAGCCGGACACCAATGTGGCACTGATCAATGCCATTTACTTCAAGGCACGCTGGGCGCGTCCATTCAATGACGAGGACACCAAGGATCGCGCCTTCTGGCTGAGCGAGGAGCGCTCCATTCAGGTGCCCACCATGTTTGCCGACAACTGGTATTACTATGCCGACTATCCCGAGCTCGACGCCAAGGCAATTGAGCTGTTCTTCGAGAACATCAATATGACCATGTGGTTCATATTGCCCAACAAGCGCACGGGTCTGCAGCAGCTGGAGCAGCAGCTGAAGGGCGTCGACTTTAAGCTGCTCGAGGATCGTTGGCAATGGCAAAGTGTCTCTGTCTATCTGCCCAAGTTCAAGTTTGAGTTTGACACCGATCTGAAGCCCACTTTGTTCAAGGTTTGTTAATATTAACTAGGGCCTCGTCCCGGTACACAGATATTCATATTTGATGCCGTCCTTAGATGGGCATCAAAGCCATGTTCTCGGATGCGGCCGACTTTAGCAACATCTTCGATGAGTCGCCCATTGGCACCCGCATCACCCAGGTGCAGCACAAGACTTTCATCGATGTCAACGAGATCGGCTGCGAGGCTGCTGGAGTTAGCTGTACGTGCGACCTTCCTAACTGCCCTTATATCTCTTAAGCTGATCTTAACAATCTTTCTCCCATCTAGATGCTGCTGGGGTGCCCATGTCTCTGCCTCTGGATCCCAAGACCTTCGTGGCCGATCATCCATTTGTGTTCCTCATACGCGATCAGCACGCGGTTTACTTCACCGGACACATTGTCAAGTTCTGAAGTCGTTTTATAAGACATTTTTCAAGCAATATAATTTTATGTCATTTCATTATTTAAGCATTCATCAACTTGAATAAATTTCAGAGTCAATTTCAGCTCAAACGTTTTATTTAGAATTCAAAAGTTTCGCATTTGGGCACCAACAGTGGGCCACACTTGCCCTCCGAGTAAAAGTTCAGGGCTAAAATACAGTTGGGAAAATGGACTTTAAATAAATCGATCGGGTCATTTCAATTGATAACCTACGTGGCCTTCCTCTTAGTTCACGTTCACAGTTAATGAATTCGATATCCCTTTGATCAATATTTATGAAACATCCCACATAGGCGCAAACTTCTAAAGAGAGCAGGGTGGACTTACATTTGCTGGGTATATACAAATTTCGAGCTGCAAAGAATCGAAATCTACATTAATGCATACAATACAATATGTGATATGTAAGTCATACCAACCCAGGCTGAGGGGAGCTAATGTCGAGAGTAGCAACAAAATGATCTTCATCTCTGAAATGTTTTTTGATCTATAAAAACTTCCATTAGAATTCCATTCTACTTAGCTAAACCGTGCTTAATTGCTTAATAGAATTGATTAGTCCCGCTTGGTTAGGCCATATTGAAAAGGCCTCGGATAGTTATTGGGCTTTTTACACACGTTTCGACATGCTAAAAATATATACAAACAGCCATAATTTTGGGTTTTTAAATATGCCTCGTCCACTTTACGTGTGACCCAAAAAGCCAGGCACAACAAAAAGGTAAAAATTAATAAAACGAAAGAAATAAATGAAAAGATAAGAAGAAATTAAGGAAAGCCATAAGAATTATGTGCTCTCTTTTATATTATGCATACAACATATTTAAAACATTCAATTTATTCCGAAATATGTTCGGGAATTAAGAACTCATTGTGAATTCAGACACTCAGAAAAATTCGGGGTGTAGAGTGAAAAAGGTTAGAAGATATATCTCTAGATATTTTGGTATTTTAATTTTAAAAATATATAATTTAAAATATATAATATACATATATAAATATTATTTTGATATATAATTGTATATATAAATTCTTAAATATGTAAAAAGAAGACTAAGGAAACTAAGAAAGTATTTTTGTTAACACTACACCAATTCCTAATAATATATCTTAGTTCAAAAATATTTGATATTAAAAAAAAAGTAATTTTTCACTACACTAAATTGTATATATATGTTAAATTCATATTTATATTTTTTATAATATATATTTTCTTTTAATTTTCAGTGTTGCAAAGTGCATGCCAAATGGTTAAAGGGCATTGAAATGCGCTAAGCTTAGCAGTCAGTTGGCATAGGCTGTGTTGCCCCTGCAAGATCAGATCGATCCGATAATGGAGAGAGGGAGCTCTTCAGACATTTGTGGCATTTGTTTTAAAAGCGCCTTAGCCTGCGCCTGCAGCTGCACCTGCTGCGCTGGTTGGTGTGGATGGAGGGCGGGGGGAATGGGATAGGTATAGATAGAGGAATAGGGTGCTGGACTGTGCCCACTTGAAATTCCAGTCGCAAAGCCAACATGAAACAAAGAAAAACTTGTCAAGCAGTACAAACAAATCTAACAAAGGGACAGCAGGAAGAGAACCGAGAGACAAGGAAGAAGATAGGGAAGGCAGACGTCGCTGCCCGCGTTGCTGCAGCGGCAGCTGCTGGCCACAAGCGATGAAGCGATGAAGCGAGGGCGCGCTACAAGAATTACAATTACAACAACAATTACATGGAGCAGACGCAGCGCCAACAATAGCGGCAGCGCAAGCGTGCCCAGTATTTTAGTAACCAGTATTCTTACTCAAGCGAGCGATCGTCAATACGAGAGAGAGAGTGGGAATGTGAAAAAGAGCTCGTGTGTGAGAGCGCCAGCCGACGCAACAGTTGAAGTTGCATTTGAAGTTGGAGCCAAAAGAGTATATGAGTATGAGTGTATGGGAGAGAGAGAGAGCGTTCGGGCTTCGTGTGCTCGTAAGGTGCACAATTGTGCGCGCTCGAGGATCGCGCAGTCTGTGTATTGGTGTCAAGCGAGACAGACGTATTTCGGCATTCGCTGCTCTGAACGCGTCTTGCTCAATTTCACGTCTTTTGTTGTTGTGCGTGTTTAGTTTGCGCGAATAAGAAACTGCAGTGTGCAGCTGCCCGCGCCGCGCTACCCACTCCCTGCTCCTTCGCCCATCGTTGCCGCCCACGCGTGTGTGCGCTGGGCTTATCTGGCCGTCAGAATCGGTAGCTTGTTTGTTTTTGTTGGCTCAGGCTACCTACAAAAAAGAGAAAAAAAAAAGAGTAGAAGAAGGGAAAAAACGGCAGCCTTCCAGCCGTCCAGGCTGTCAGGCATTAAGCGCTACATGCGCAAAATAAATAAGAAGAAATAGTTGACCAGTTTTCCCGTCTCCTTCGGCTTGAGTGTGTGAATGCGTGCGTCTGTGTATGTGTGTGAGTGCAGCAGAAGTAAAAGTGGAAAACGCGCATCAATTATTTTAAATGCTCTCAAAATATCTGCACGATTCGCCCCACAGTGCGACAATTTCGCGTCAAATGAAGCGCAGTGGCTACAAAAAATGCAGCAATTAATGTGACGCGTTAAATTTCCCACTTGGCCAACTCTCATTGAGCTTTTCCAAATACCAAATATCGCGTGTAATGCCAACCAGTTTCCAGTTGCCAGGCAGCCATTGAACCAAATTAACTGCACATAAAGATTTGTACTAGATGCTGTCACAATAACAACAACAACAACGACGACAAAGAGTCCAAGAGAAATAAACAAGAATTTGCTTGATTTATGTGTGATTAGGAAAACGCGACAGAAAATCCAATAAATTATAGCAACAATAATAATAAAGAGTAAAGTATAAAGTGTAAAGAGTAAAGAGTAAAGATAGAAATAAATAAAAGGCTGCGCCTGCGCTTGGCTTCACCTCAAGTCACCTTCAGCGCCTTTTTTGTTGGCAAATTAATAGGAAATATGTTGAAATCCTAATTTATGTGTGTGCACAAATACCTACATACATATGTATGTTGATATACATCAGTGTGTGTGCGTTAAATATATTTGTGAATGCAAATCAAGCGAAACAGCAAAGCCGATAAGCGTTTCAGCAAGGATTTTATTATGGATACCACAAATAAAATGCATTTGGAGCTCGAAAGGTGAGTCCGGAGAAAAAATAAAAAAGATCTTGAGAGCTGATAATTAAAACATGATTTTATTTACCTGCATTTTGTATTTCGTTATATATTTTGCTGCGAATTTCGTATAGCTGCTTAGGTTATTTAATATTTTTGATGTTATCTCAATATTTGATCATTCTGCTCTATTGTTTTTAAGGCTCTTAAAATAAGCAAAATTCCAATAGAATTTCTTGATTAGAATCAATTGTCAAGGCTGAACTTGGAATTCATAATATTAAAACGGTAGATCTTTTATATATATACTGAAAGCGACTGACTAGTGCGTACCCTGTAAAAAGATGATGTAGGAAAATGCTCTGTAAAATTGAATATGCAGAAAGTCTTTACTCTATACCCAGAACTCGTTTATGTTAGCTTATCTTTATTTAGCATACCAAATCGAATGAGACAGAGGGATATAAACCTCTTGCCCTCTTTTAACCCACACGCCAGTTAAATACAGTTTATTAAATAAACATTAAGTTACAAATTTATTGCATTCGTCTAACTGTTCTCAGCTACTCTGCTTTTCTACAGCACTATAAATAATAAATTTACGATTTGTTTATGCTGGCGACATTCAAAATTTATTTGTTTTAATTTGATTGCTAATCAAATTTGCGTTCATTAACTAAAAACATAAAAACAGAAAAGAAAACAAATGAATTTGATAGTTAATTTGCACCTCAACTTAGCTGGAGGGTAAAATTTGAGCTCAGACATAAGCATAATTAGCAATGTGTCCCATGAAGACAATCGAATCTTTGTATTTGATGGCAAAGGCAAATGGATGATCCGCCTCAAATTTCTTCGAGCGCGAGAACAAGCCCTTCAAAACTAAAGGAGTGAAAACAAAGAGAGAGAGAGAGAGAGAGAGAGAGAGAGAGAGAAAGATAGGGTATTAATTGTCAAAGAGAAATATAGCAAGCTATAGCTTACCACCCGTCTCCAGAGGCTGCTCGACGCCCGCCTCAGAGACCTCCACATGGGCCTTGTGCTCGACGTTGTTGATGAAGTGGCTGACGAACATACGGTACATATTACCAAAGTCTCCCTCGCGGGAGAACATGGTCGTAACGCCCAGCTAGATAGAGAACAGATGAATAGATCAATAGAGTTAGACTAAGAATTTCTTGTACTACTTCAACTGCTATCGCACCTGCTTGAAAGGTTTCTCGAGGCTAAGGCCGAAAGTGACACTGAACTTGGGCAGCTCCACCTCCACTTTCTGCATGCTCATCGAGCCCAGTTCGGTGAGCAGATTCTTGCCCACCAGACTCTGTTGGAGGGCACGCAGGCCATCCTTGCGATTGGGCAGCAGCAAGATCATTGAGAACTCCTGATTTTGATAGGGCAACTCCAACACCTTGGCGTCCAGGCTGCTAACCTCGGCATAGTTCAAGTTCTGCAACGTCCACATGGTCTCCACATTGACGTTTTGGCCATCGCCCGTGCGGAAGCTGCGACTCTTTGTCTTTTCCAGCTTGAAGGCCTTCTGCCAGGGTGCGGAGAACGTGACGCCATTTACAATGACTCCCTCGGTGCGATCGTTGAGCAGCTCCGCCCTGAGTATGTCCTTAATCTGATTATTTGTCTTGGTCGCCACAGCCTGATTAATGGCAGCCGCAGTGCGCTTGTTGTACGGCGGATGAAAGTCGAGTTTCTCAATGTTCGAGTCGAATTGACGTTGAGCCACATCACGAAAAGAGTTCTTGAACTCCAGATTTTCGTTGATGTAGATGTTGTTGGCCAGCCGCAGATTGTTGTCGCGCGTCAGCGCCTGCTGGAAGCTGCCATGGCGCTGCGACACCTGATCCGCATCGCCAATGCCCAAGCGCATGCCCTCCTTCAGCTCTATGGCTGTCTGGCCCTTGGCCCCGAAGAAGGCCAGCGCCATCGAGGTCTGTATGGCGGCGGTGCCAATCACAACATTCTCATTGAGTCGCTCCGCACCCACTGCATTGTAGAGATCGGCAGCGAGCAGATTGCGATCTCGGGCAGCATCTAAGCCGGCCGAGGTTCTCGCTTGGCAGCTGCCGAGAATTGCCAAGGAAACTGGTGAAAAGTTTTATTGTAGTAGATTGCAAAATTCAGATGAAAATAAATAAATACCAGAGAAATACTTCAGAAAATAGGGCATATTTAAGATATTATTAAATATAGGAATACTAAAGTCCTATTCAATCTGACAGTTTACCAAATTTGCAGCAATATTTCTATAACCAAATAATTTTGTATATGTCTGATAATTATATAGAAAAGTATCGATTTTTTGTAGATAAATCTTTATTTAAATCTTGCTGAGACTTAACAAATATCTTTTCTCATCAGAGTCAGTTAATGCGATCTCAGATAAAATCTGATACTTGATATGCAAATCCAAAATTGATTTGAAAGCTGGTCCCAAACAAAATATTAACAGAAGCTAATCTTTGCAGAAAACGATCTGACAAGGTCTCCAAAAGTTCTGTAATATACCATCTAGAAATTTTAATAGCCATGAATCTTATCACGGGTTTGGGCTCTCGTTTGCCCACACAGACAGCTATTGTCATCATCAACATCTGTCACATAGATATATGCATACGAGACCAATATTTTGGAATAAAATTCCAATTAAATTATGTGTCGCGTTGTCTTGTTCGATTGTCTCTGAAGAGCCTTGATTCTGTTATGACAGACCATAAACAACCCATTAGTTCTCTTGCCTAGTTATACTGACAGAGATGGGGTATTCTGGCTGTGTCATAAAGTGAGTAACGTAGTTGAGAAGAATCGTATGCAGAAATACACATACATATATTATTATATATAATATATATATAATATTAACCTAATCTTAGCTAAATAATTTCTTATCTAATCTAACTAGACTTCCACCCAAAATATATTGCAGTGATTTGGTAGAGATGCTGCGCGTAGTTTAAGGCAGTAAAGCTACTATAGATCAAAATCCAATATAATCATATTAACATTGAACCACTTCAATAGAGCTGATAAGCTTTACAATATCAGTCAAGTTCATCTAATAAAATAAAACAAATATACATATTCAATGTATAAATTTTAGTGTCTAGGGTATTCAAATGTTGTTCATTTTCGTTTTGTGGTTTATTGTAATTTTTATCAATAAATCGAGCCATAAATATTGTCACTTTGCTTTTTCGTAGACTGAGACTGGTTTTTGTTTGTGTATGCTCGAGTACAAGTTTATAAAGATCTTATAGGCAATAATTGAGGCTTACGTAATAGGCACTGCACTGAGCTGAGCGTCATGATTGTTTCAATTTATATATATGCGAAATAAATACACATATATGTATGTGTGTATATATATTACTCTATGTGTGTGTGTGCTTTTAGAGAAACTGTTTTCGCTTGATTAATATTTTGCGTCGTCGCGCGTTGAGCGTCCGAATGTGAACTGAATTCGTGGCTGGCTGTGAGAGACTTTTGGAGCTGCGATTACGTCTTAGATTCTCGTAAATTAGTCGATCAGCTGGCTGGTTTTTTTTTTTTTTTTTTCGTGTGTTGCTTTGTTTACAGATCGTTTATCACCTTGACGGAGCGCTGATAAGCCGATAACCTTTGCGCTAGACTCTGGTCCTCGATTCTAGATGTCGACCACATGGCCCGCCAGTAGCAGGGTCTTCTCATTGCCGACGGCATAGAAGAACGGATGATTGATCACCAGGGATAATGTGCTGCGAAATAGATCGGTGAAGGCAGCCACTGAAGGGGGGCAGTGGACGGAGGGGAGAACAATAAAATGCAGCTGTAGTCAAAAGAAATACCAGTCTTAAGCTAATTTAAAGAGCTTACCAAAAGTTTGCTCCGCCTCACCGCCCGCCTCATTCAGCTCGAGCAGCACGGTGTGTGGCACTGCGGTCAAATGTGGCGCCGAGCTGGACAAAATTGAGCTGAACACATTGTGTAGCTGAGCCTCGGGTGTGAAAAGCTTGGACAGGCCCAGCTGCAGGCAGAGAGAGGTTTAATTTTATTATATACTATACACAGCTAGATTCAGAAACATCTTATATATATCATTTTAGAATTTAACTTACTTGCTCTAGAACTCTGCGCAGCTCGGTGTGGGCCAACAAACTGAACTTGGGCAGGGTTAAAGCGATTTTGCGTTCGCTCAGCATTCGACGTAGCTGATGCAGATCGATGCGTTGCAGCTGACGTTCCAGTTGGGCCAAGCCCAGCGGCTGATTGGGATAAATGATGAGCAGACTGAGGCCCGCTGTGGCATAGGGCAGCTCAACGGCGCAGGCATCCAGCGAGGGCAGCTCCGCATAGCGGAGGCGATGCTGCATGAACATGGCATCCACTAGCTTGGAATTGCGGCTGCCCTCGGTAAAGAAGTTGATGCGCTGCGTCTGCTGTGCATCGAAGGCCTGGGCCCAGGGTGCGCGAAATGTGAGCGCCGAGACATGCAAGAAGGGAGTGTCCGAGCCGCTGGTGGACTCCAGCAAATGGCTGCTAACCAGCTCACCCACGCTGTAGTTGCTGCGCCTCAGGAAGTCATAGTTAATCTGCTGCGCTGTGCTTGCCCAGCTGTCGAAGTCCAGACGATGCACGCCTATGCCCAAAGCACCGGCACGCGCCTCAAACTCATCCCGAAAGCTGAAGGTGTAGCGCTGCTGAGTGTAGAGCTCGCTGAGCAGTCGCAGCTGACAGCCGATGGCCACCTCCTGCTTCAGATCCGCCAGCAGCTGCCTGAATTGCTGCACCGACTGCTCCGGAGTACCTAAATATTGCAGCTCCAGAGCCACGCGCAGCTGCTGAGCTGTTGGCGCCGAGCTGGGCGTGACGCCAGCATAGAGCAAAGTGAGAGCCGTTTGCAGGAGTAGCGGGGAGACAGCGACATTGCTGTGTGGCTGTGCCAGGCCCAGACTCGTGGCCAGGCGCAGGCCAAAGCGTTCGGTAGATCCGCTTAAAGCAGCTGCCGGATTGCCGTTCGCACCGCTACTGAACAGCAGCAGCAGCTGAAGCACGACAGCTGTTACGACTAGAAGTCGTCTCCAGTTAACGTAGCTCATTGGGGGTATTTCCAAGCTTTAAATTGAGTTAAGATTTAAATTCAAGCTGATGCTGATGCTGTTGCTGCTGTTGCCACCAGAGCTCACACTCAATTAAAGAAACACGCGAGCCGGAAAATCAAAACAGAATGTAGCGGCGACACAGAGCAGGTTTTAGGATCTACAAAAAAACACTCAAAGTTGCTTTTAATTGAAATTCTGATAAGACAGAGCGAGCGAGAGAGGGTAGGTTGACTCCGCATGACAGCTGAATGAGATAGAATGATTATCTAGTAAGTGACCTAATTACCAGCACTGTCAAGATTTAAGTAGATTCCGCAGATCCATTAAAGCTATTAGAAATGTATTTATAATCAATTAACTTAAAGAGAGCGCAAGATTTGGAATACACTATGAGAAAAGGTATAGTGGATATGGGGTCTATAGAATATGAAGAATATTTCTCAGAGAGAATATATATTCATACCACATATAAATAAAAATATATTATGATTAAACTATATTGCACAAATATATTCTTGGGTATCAGTAAATAAAATCGTAATGATATAAAACTTTGGGAATAAGGTTTATTCTTTTGCAGAATCCATAATCCTGCGTAATCTAGTTTGAACCCCCTTTTTGCCGAGAATTAATTTGATTCCATTCCTTCAAAATAATAATAGATTTATAATCTGCTGTCTCAAATCAGAAAATTTAACTCACATCATTTCAGAGAATTTCAGCTTCGGTTTAAATACCTACGCGTTCAATGAGAAAAAACCCGTTTTTTTTTTTCTTATCAGCAACATATTTGCGTAAACAAACATCTACAATTGATGGTTCCAGTTCGTAAGTCCCCATGTTTTTATTCTACCCAAGAACTTTGCCAGTCCGTTGATTTATTATTATAATTTATTTATTTCTGTATTGTCGTGATGATGCAATGTCAACGATAGACGCTTCATTTGTCTCACTTTTAGTATTTCTCTCAAGGGGGTTTTTCGCCTTAGTCATCGGGAGGCAAACCTGTCGCTGGACTTTCCAGAGGCGCGTTGCATTGAGGAAGTTACGATTGATGAAATTTGCATTTGTTTATATGACATTGGCCATTGGCGTACGTAAAAGATTGTTATAGCTACCAGCGATCAGCTACCAGCTACCATTAATAGCTAGCCTAAGGGGCCTCTCTGCTGAGCGAAACGGGTTTGCTGAGCTTTTAGCGGGCAGAAACCAAAGGCTAACGATTCAGCTGGAAAAGGCACAAATGCTGAGCAATCTGCGAGGTGCAGCGCAAAGGTTATCTAACAAAATAAGTGTGTGTGTGTGTGTGTATATTAGAGTAAATGTAAAAATTACGAATACGTATTACAAATAGCAAATGCGTACAGTTAACTTAGGGGCTAAGGACGGCTCTACTGTCTAGCGTTGATCTGCGGCGGCTGGACCACATGCCCAATGAAGAGCACCGATTCAGGTGTGCGTATGGCGAACAGGAATGGATGATCGGCAATAAATTCGCGTGACTTCATTGGCAGCAGCAGCGGCACAAATTTGGCAACTATTTAAAGAGATGGCATAATTGAGTGAATTCTGAATTACAGTTGGAAGGCGTCTCAACTTACATGTGGCAGCTGCTGCCTCAGAGCCAGCCTCGTTGACATCAATGAAGGCCTTTTGCAGTATTTTTGACACTTTCACGGGACGCATCAGTATGGTATTCACCTGTGAGTTGGCAGTGAACATGCGACGCACGCCCAACTCTTGCAGCGGAAGCGTCATATCCTGTTCGAACTCAATGCGGAATTTGGGTAGCCGCACTGCGACCATCTCGCGACGTAGACGTGCGGCGATCTGATTTAGATCCGTTCGCTCTAGTTGCCGTTCCAGCTGTGGCAGACCATCCACCTGGTTGGGCAAGACGAATAGCATGGACACTTCAGTGCCGGCATAGGGCAGCTCGAGAGCTACGGCATCCAGGTCTGGCAGCTCTGCATAGGCGTACACATCGTCGTTGTACATCATGGCCACCGTGACGGCCTTGTTGCTGTTCACACGGAACTTGTCCGGCGTTGTATCCATGGCTGAAAACTCGTTTGCCCAGCGCGCCTTGAAGTAAATGGCATTGACCAGCAGTGCTTGGGTCTCATCGTCAATATCGTTGGGGCTGACCAGGTCGCGTATAATATTGCGTGTGGCGTCCGCTGCCCAGGCATTGATTCGGCTTGCCGTATTCGCCGATCGCTTCATGTTGACCCCCTCAATCTCCGAGTTGAAGTACAAATGGGCATAGTGTGCGTAATCGGGATTAACCATCGCTAGTTCATGGTTATAGAACAGCTTATTGGCCACGATCAGTTGAGCATTCTGCAGCTCTCGCTCCAGCTTTCTTACTCGCTGAAAGTCCATGGCTGTCGTCAACTGATTTTGATCGAATTGACCAGCCGATCGAAGCTCGGTGGCCGTTTCTCCAGCTGAGACGCCGTAGAGCATGGCCAGCATAGCGTGTACCGAGGAGGGCGAATAGACGACATTACGGTTAGCATTGTTGCGCGAGATGGGCTGAAAGAGTGTGGAGCTGAAGCGCTCACGGTAATTGAACTGAGCCGGCGGACGTATGGGACCCGACGGGCCTCTCGATTGACCAGCTGCTGACTGGTCGGCTGAGCCATCGATGCCAAGCACTGTTACGCTAGGAGTTCGAGATGCGTCCGGAGCTTCAACTGGAGCTAGCGGCTGGGCGGGATATTGTTGTTGCTGGATATTTGGTGGCGATGCTGCTGCCGAAACTGTGCTGATTCTATTCTGGGCCGGAGCCGCCACACGGGATCTGCTCTGTATCTGGTTGTCAAAGCTAGAGCGCCTGCTGAAGACGATGTTGCCATAGTCTATAATACGCTGTCCGTTCCCCGTGGCGGGTGTGAGGAACAGGCAAAGGCTAAGGCAGCTGCCCAGTAGAAGCAGCGCTGCTGATGCTGTAAAGAGATGAGGCAGAGAGCATTGGTTAGAGCTTCGCAAATCGGATATTGCCGCAATTGTTCTTAGCTTACAGTATTTGTTCGGCATGGCGATCAATTACTGCGGAGAGGGAAACTCGTTTAGCTGCTGCTTTATATCTGTATACACATGTATATATATAGATAAACTTATAAATATAATTCTTCTCCTCTGTTTTTTTTTGCGTCTCGACGCGATCGTCTGTTGGGCAGCTCAGTTCGACTGCAGCTTTAAAAACAAACTGAGCTTGGCAAAAAGTTGGAGCAGCGAGAATATGCGAGCACCTAGAAGCGAGCTGATAACCGGTCCGTAATACTGGGCACTCCCTGCACCGCTTCCCGCAGAACAGTGGGTGCGTCAAGACGAGCACTGAGCAAATATTTTCAAAAAAATAAAACTGAAACAGAAAATGTAAGAGAAACGAAACCTGTTGAGCGAAATCTCGCTCTTCGAGCTCTCCCACTCTCTCTCTGTATCTCACTCTCTCTGCTCTGCTCAGCTCTCTATTTCTCTCTCCTTCTGTGTTTCTTGGAAAACCCCGCTTATATTTAATTCTAATTACATAAATGAAAATATGCGCTACTGCAAGTCGATCCAGGGTTTTCAATTGGGTATTGGGGCGTCACCGTTTGAAATGTGAAAAATACGTGAAATTTTTCTAGGCGATTAACAACAGCTAACAGATCACTGACTCAAGCGGAGAAGGTTCAATTCATTGACTCGGACAAGTCGGCTCTTGGAAGATAACAAAAAAAAAAAAAAAAAACCAATTGGATCTTGTATATTTTTAGCATTCCCACCGGATAACTGAGTGCGACTCATAACTTCTCGTTTTCCTGTTCTTAATGACGTCAAATCTAATGCCTGCCGACATTTTTATGCGTCCATAGTCAAGTATTAGTCAAGACATTCCCCATTTAACCTGTTAGTAAATGCATTTCCTAACCATTTCGTAAGAGCTACACATAAATCGTATCGCGAGAACTAATTAAGTATTCCAAAATCCGAATGCGAGATAAAACTAGCGGTAGCGGTAGCAGAGACCTCACACGACCCTCTACTCTCTACGCCGTTCTTAATTATGTAAAAGCGAGTCTCAGTATGCATTTCATACGATATCAGACACACATACACACACACTAAGTGCCTGACCTAATTGCACGACTAAATGTGTAAACATAATTTACTCCAATTAGAGCCGATGACGCTCCGTGCCTCAATATCTTCCCCACATAAGTGAGCAATGCCACGCCCCCCGCCACGTAACGCCCTCTCTGTGTAGCGCATGCCGCCGACATCGTCGTTGCCTCGGAAATTGGGGCAAGTGTATTGGAGAACGTGCACAGCGCAAAGATATGAGCTCCATAAAATGCAATCAATAAATTTTTGTAAAATTCTAGAGCTGTTGATAGAGCTCGGCAGCAGGTTGTTGTATTAATTACGACGGCTGAAGGCGCAGAAGAAAGAGTTCAAAGTGAAACACGAAAAATGAAATAAAAAAGGAAGACAGTTTGGTGCCTGCTGCTTGAAGGGTTGTCGCACATAGCGAAACACAAAAAGTTCAAGTTATGCGAAACAATTTTTTGCTTATCTTTTCGCTTGACTGTTTTTTGTCATCTCTGTCATATTTGGACAGCTGTCTCGGAGGCACTTGAAAAAGATAATTTCATGCACTGCAAAAATTGAATTAAAACTTGCAGCAAACTGTTTTCTCAGACTTTTATTTGTTAGATTCCATAATATTGTTATTTATATATTTACATTTCCATATAAGTATATTATTTTCACAGTATTTTATAAACCTTTTTTTTTTTTTTTTTTAATATAGGCAATATATAATCAAACGACTGATATTATTATGTATTTCAACAGATCTCTGTTTTTATATAGCTTCTGAGACTGTTTGACTCTTGGAAGCAGTATCTATGTTGATTGATCCTCTTATAGATGTTTAGAGACAAAACAAGCATTGCCCTTTTCAGCTTCATATTACCAGTCATGTTTACTCGATGTATATGCCTTCCTTTCTATAAAACAGTATACCCTTTTCAAACCCGATTTAATGAGCAACAAATGTCGTTTATAC